TGTGCTCCAAGCATTGAGTCTTTCAAACTGAGGCTTGATGAAACACTAGCACATCTTACGTTACAACATAAGTGAAGCTGCGTGAAGCAGTGGAAAACGCACGTATCACGTGACAGTTTACAAAAACAATTGTATGTATCACTGTTTCTTAATCCACCGCACGAACCTATGGGACCAAAAAAGCATGAGCTTGTAAGTTATTCCCATAATAAATCTTTGAAATCTTTGAAATCTTTACATATTGATCTGTGTGTGTGCAAATCCCACCCGTCCAAATACAAACTCATCCCATCTCGGATATCTACATACAGAATCCTTTCGTTACCCTATCTTGTCCGGACAACGACCGACAAGGAGCGCATTCGTTCTGAGCTTCAAAATGCAATCAGTAATCAATTCACGTTTTCACCTTTTTGCCAGTATTGTGATGGTGGTCTCTTTTTGGCTGAAAGCTTGTATATAACTCGCTAAAGCTTCAATTCAATACAGTACATCTGTTTTGAGTGGTTGTTTCAAAGCAGTTTTCTCTATAGGTCAACTGAACACTCAGTTCGCCATTCACATTTATTTGCATCACATGGAACCTGACACACACACACACACACACACACACACACACACACACACCTGAGCGTCGAGTACGAATGTTCCATCGTGTACGGTCACCAGTCATCTTTGTCTATAGTCTGCCTGCGCGCAGCTCTATTCAGACTGTCACCAGGCTTTCTGTAATTGTTGATAGCTTACCGTGAAGCAAATTTACCGTATTTGTGTAAACTGTCTGTTTTTTCATCTATCACTTCCGTGCGCGACAGTCGAGGTCGGCTCCATACTTCTTTTCTATTTAAACTGATCATAATATTTAGATAAAAGTTCAATCATTGTTACAGTTCGCGTTTGTTGATGTTGTTCTTGTTGTCCTTGTTTTCACCACTATCTCATCATTACCATCATGATCGTTCTCGTCGTCCTCATTGTCGTCTTCATCGTCGTCATGTAAACTACTAACCAGTTACAGATGAATCGAAACTCCAAAATTGTATCCAGCGGAATCAACAAGCACAAACTGAGTTCCCGTGCCAAGTTCTTTCATCGCGAGGAAGCGAAAACCCAGTTGGATGATAGAACACTTTCGGTGTGGTGTATTGATGATTGATTTATTCATAATTTTCACCAAACTTCGTTCATTTTGTATTCAAACAATACCCTGAATTGTGAATAAATGATATGTAATCAAAATGGTAACCCGGATGTTTGTTTTGAAAGTGCACTAATTTTCTGATTTTTCGCATCTAACTCACAGTTCCCTGTGACCAGTGGTGTGGCACAGTTGATATTAATTGATTTAAACTGACCGTCCTTCAGACTTCACGTTCACGAACACAATCCTCAGTTCTTCCAGTCAACCATTCCGAGTGTATGCTGGTTGAAAGAACTGAGAATTTTGTTCGTGAAGATGAAGCCTAAAGAACGGTCAGTTCAAATCGAAATGATTATTATTGATTGGTATTTACGTGGAGTCACATTGTTTGATTGGTTGACTAGCAAACACTGTCACTCGCTCGCTACCTTTATCCCTCCACCTCTATTGCGGGNTGTTGCTTGCCTTGGCTCTACAGCCCAAACGAGTACGCTATGCTAGGTAGGGAGGGGTTTTAACGAAAAACTCGACCACCGGGAGGGGGGAGTAGAAGGGCACAGCGAACTGACACGTCTTCACCATACCACTCTTCCGGATAAAATGTATCGACAGAACTTTCGGTGTTTTAGCAATATTTGGAGTTCCCGGGCTTTACTTCAAAAGCGAACTAAGATCACTCTCTTTCGCCATAGAATAGGCAACTAATACGGTCCTTGAACGATGACAGCGGGTTTGAGAAGAGACAGCAGAATCTGCCTACTATCCAATTGAGTTGATTGTTTTAGAGATTTCAAGGGGCAAATGAAAACAAAAGTTCTTAAGTGAACGTAACCATAACGCAATTGAAAAAATAGCACAGAAAATCGCTGACATCAACAGGTCTATTGGCCGGATTTGGTTCCACCAAACTTGTTCACGGTACCACAGATTGAACCGTTTTCTCCATTTCGAGGGAGAATGTCCTCCTCCTTCGACCAAATCAAATGCTCCTAGCAATTCATGTGTGAATAGTCAGTCATTAAAATAGACTGGATGGAGACCAAGTCGCCTTATCGAATAACCAAAAATTTGATTTTGGAAATCGAATCACAAAATAAATGGACTGGGCAGAAACGACAGTTGTTCACTTACGCAGAATTTGTGTAAATCAGTGAATAGATCAAGCTTGCAGCAGCACTCAATCACAAATCGGATCTACAGAAACTGTGTGAATTAACTGCCCAATCAAACTTTCCGATAACCGATACTACTCCTCTGTCCAATTCCTTTCAATTTCTTCTTTCGTTATATATCGGAAGNCGGAAGTCTTATGTCCATTATAATTTATTCATTTTATTGATTATAAAAATCCAGTCTGTTACGCGTGTACCGAGGCAGCAAAATGATCCCAGATAGATGATTTAAACCATCATCTTTTTTGAATTTATCCATCCATAGCATGCCTCTTAGAGAACAATCGATTCGTATCGGACGCAAACGCTTTGTAGACTAGTTGAACTTGAATAATGAAAGTGCAAGACTCACGTTCAGCGCGTTGTCCAGTCGCGGAACGAACTGATTTGCTCATCGTACAGCATATTCTCGTGATCGCTCGAATCCCGTAAGTGCAAAGTGATTGAAAAATAAATCATGGTAAATTCCTAATACCTTCTTTTAATCTACCTCACGCTAGTTTACAGACAGTAAACTCTGTCTGTATAGTTTCTTGCTTGAATTTCGCCTCCGGGACGGACGAATTCCAACAGATTAGCCAAAATGTACACTCCGAGGACCGGTGCCAGGGAAGATAAACGTCTGTCCGATATTGTGTGTTGCTCATCATAGAAATTTCGTTCAACGGGATATGAAAACACCTATTTTCATTCATTTTATTTCTTATAGACTGTAATCACATGACGAAAATGTTACAACTGAGGAACTATCAATTGTGCTTGTGGGTTTGATCCCCAGTTGGTCGGGTCGATTGATTCACCCTGCTGGTGAGACTTAACCAGATCGAAACAGCTGTACAGAGTGCTTTCCATCTTTTCAGTTCAAGCCAGATTTACGCGACGACTTCATCGCATAACCCAAACAATTACTCTGATATAATTCAGGTTTCATGAGCCTCCGAAATCCTCATTATGGTCGAGGTGTGGTGTCTAGGGTTGCGGCTGATCATTCCTCCCTTGCACCTCGCGGAATGCTCCCGTACGACCAAGCGTCTCAAACAGTCTCTGTTGAGGAATTCCTACTCACTGCCTTCTCGTTGCAGACGTGTTTACCCACCAAAGTGAGAGGAAGAAAAGCCGACATCCGGGGCTATGACCGGGTCGGTGAACCATTCGTAGTTTACCTAGGAGAGTTGGCCAAAACCCCTGATTCCAAACCGAACGAGTAAGAGGCTTATGAACCGCACAACACTTCCTGGTTGTGGCAGTGGTCACCGGCTCGACTGGGAAACTCTTGCAACCGCCCAGGAGTAATCTGGACTCCTTTTCTTATTAATCGGTTGCGTTTCCTGGCGACAGTATCTTATACAATTGGGTG